CTACAAGGAAAAGATGAAAAAATATATAGGGGAAGATGGAATAGAATTTATATATGGTTAGAGAATAAATAATGTTGTAGACTCAAAAGATTGTAAATAAGTTACTGTATGAGATACATCTGTTTGTGATGATGTGAAAAATTATAAATAAAACTTGGGGAAATAATTAATATATATTTTTTAAGTTCCATAATGCAGTTTAGACACAGTTATTAGAGTTACAGATACATACAAATTTCATAAATGCTGTATGAGATACATCTGTTTGTGATGATGTGAAAAATTATAAAGAAAACTTGGGGAAATAATTAATAATTTTTTAAAAGTTCCATAATGCAGTTTAGGCACAGATATAATTCAAAAGCAGAACAGTTATTAGAGTTACAGATATATACAAATTTCATCAATGAAATACCAATTTCTCATCTTTGAAAACAAGGGACCAAAGCTCTCGGAATGACTAGTGTTAGATTGTTCCAAACATCTTCTCTCTGTTGGCAGATATTAATCCTGAAACCACTTATTTTGTTACAAAAGTTTTAATGATAGTTTTATCTGTAAAGCGACAAAAAATCTGGCTCGACCCAATTGTAACAGAACTTGGTATACACTCAGTTAATATGAGTTAAATGGATATTTAAAAGTATTATAGTTTTATTAACAACTTCTGTTTTAACATTTTAGATTTGATTATCTTGACTGTAAATTTTGATTGTAAAGTTGGTGTTTTGAGGCTAATGTTGTATATCAATGTTTGATAATTGAGCTTTTCGATCATAGAAGCTAATAAGCATAAGAATAAGATTGTTTCAAACCGGGGAGATTTTACTCAGGATCGGGTGAACCCGAGTTCATATTCTAAGGCTGGGGAAGCAATCTTCTGAATAGGAGTATCATTCTCACTTCTAGGGCTCTTTTTGTAGAAAAAGCCCAGCAGGAACTCATTAGCATAATAGGCCACACCCAACAGCAGGAACTCATTAGCATATTAGGCCACACCCATGACAGCACAGCTCATTAGCACATTAGGCCACACCCCCATGTTACCAGAAGTGTGGTCATCCAGCCACACCCACCTTTTACTTCTTATTCTGTTTACCTTGTTTGTTGTCAACACCCAGGGCTTTTTTTGTAGCAGGAGCTCCTTTGCATGTTAGGCCACACACCCCTAATGTAGCCAATCCTAATGAGTTTCTGCTGTTGGGTGTGGCCTATTATGCTAATGAGTTCCTGCTGGGCGTGGCCAACTCTGGAGCCAGCCGGAACTCCGTTCCTGCGCATTCCTGTCCAAAAATAGCCCTGCTCACTTCGAACAAAAGTTAAAAGATGCCGTGGTTTCATATTTATGCCACCTGCATTCTTAATAATCTGCCTGCCATCAAGCTGAAGAGTAAAGCTACCGGTGATGTTCTTCTCTGAGCTCAGTGGGACACTTGTTGCTTGAGCGCCAGTCCTGGTCGAGTTACTCAAATTCACCCTGTCTCGTCCCTGCTTCCCTTGTCCAGGTCACCGTGCTCTTTGCTGGGCAGAATATCGACAAGAGCCCCTTCGAGGTCAACGTGGGCATGGCGCTGGGTGATGCCAACAAGGTGACGGCCCGAGGCCCAGGACTGGAACCTGTGGGCAACGTAGCCAACAAGCCCACCTATTTTGACATCTACACGGCAGGTTAGTGACCCCTGGCAGAAAGGAGAGGGGCATACGGACCTGTAGCGAGGATTTTGTGGCTTGCGGGGCAAATTTATTTCTGGGGCTGAAGTTCTCAGTGCAGAATGAAAAGCAATTTAGCCAATACAGAGCTGTTCCCCAGATGGATCTCTAAATTGCAAGCTGCCAACCACTTTAGATGACAGTACGCAGCTGCTGCAAGTTAATCACTTCTGCCAGCGTAGGCAGCAATTCTGATAACAAGCCATCTGGTGGGGGTGATGGCTTCTGTGGTCAAGAAAGCTAACACTTAGGCAGGAAAACTCTCTGGAAGGAGACCAGTTTCTTGACACAGAGTTAGAAGGGATCCTAGAGGTCACCTACTCCAACCCCCTTGCTCAGTATGGGAATTAGTCAACTACAGCACCACGGTCTGCTTAAAGGAGCTCACACCTTTAACAAAATGTTTTAAAATGATTGAGAAAAGCATTTGCAGGAGAAATTCTTCTGGGGCTGTGCCTTTAAGAAAGAGGGCGGAGCCCCCAAAAGCCCCCCCCATAGCTACGGGCCTGGGGTCATAGTCATAGGTGTTTCTGTGGAGAGGACTAGACAGTGGGTGGGAGCCAGATTGATGGAAAGAGTAACGGATCGCACTAAAGGTCCTGTTATTTAGCATCTCTTAGGTGCCTCCTGATAGCTTTTGTGCCCTGCTTGTGGGCAACTTCTCACCACTTGACTGCAGCGGCTGGTATTTGAAGGTATACTGCCTCAGAACAGGGAGGTTCCGTTTAGCAGTCATAATCAATATCTGTTAATGGACCTTGAGGAATCCGTGTCGGCCTTTTAAAAAGCCATCAAAGCCCATGGGGATTTCTTACGTCATGGCAACCCAAGAATGATGCACTACATGGAAAAGCAGCCCCTCTCCAGCCTACATGGATAGATTCTGAGGTGGGTTGGAGCAAATGCAGGATACAAAGGGCTTTGGGGGCAGCTTATGGGGCAGGATCATGGGTTAGGGGCAGCATTAGGCACCCCACTTTTGCCTGCTGAAATGTGGAATCATGAACACCATGGTTTGCCACGTGACAACCAGGCCCGTAGCTACGGTAGGGCTTTTGGGCCCCGCCCCCTTTCTTAAAGGCACAGCCCCACAAGAATTTCTCTGGTAAATGCTTTTCTCAATCATTTAAAAACTTTTTAAAAGGTTTGCGCTCCTTTAAGCTGAGCGGGGTGCTCTAGTGGACTAATTCCCGCACTGGTCAAGGGGGATGGAGTAGGTGACCTCTAGGATCCCTTCTAACTTTGTGTCAAGAAACTGGTCTCCCAGAGAGTTTTCCTGCCTAAGTGTTAGCTTTCTTGACCACAGAAGCCATCACCCTCACCAGATAGCTTGTTATCAGAATTGTTGCTTATGCTGGCAGAAGTGATTAACTTGCAGCAGCTGCGAACTGTCATCTAAAGTGGTTGGGTTTTCCTGCCTAAGTGTTAGCTTTCCTGACGATAGAAGTCATCACCCTCACCTGCTGGCTTGTTCTCAGGATTGTTCTTTAGGCTGGCAGGTGTGATTAACTTGCAGCAGCTGAGAACTGTCATCTAAAGTGGTTGGCGGCTTGCAATTTAGAGATCTATCCTGACAACAGCTTACTATTGGCTAAATGGCTTTTCTTTCTGGAATGGGAACTTCAGCCCTACCAGAAAACAAATTGCGCCGCAAGCCACAAAATCCTGGCTACGGGCCTCAACTAGATTCCCCGTCTTTGTACCATTTGGCGAGTGCCGTCTATTCATGGACTGAAAGGAGGACCTATTTGGGGGAGGGGGGCCTGAGCACAGCAGAGGCCTGTTGAGTCTCTGAATGAGTCTCTGCCCACCAGGTGCGGGGACTGGCGATGTGGGTGTGGTCATCGTGGACCCCCAGGGTCGCCGCGACACTGTGGAGGTGGTCTTGGAGGACAAAGGGGACAGCATCTTCCGGTGCACCTACCGGCCTGTCCTGGAGGGTCCCCACACCATCTATGTCACCTTCGCTGGAGCTCAGATCCCGAAAAGCCCTTTTACAGTCAACGTGGCGGAAGGTAAGTGCCTCTCGCAGTCCGTGTTCCGGGTTTTTCTTCCTCCTCCCTCTCCTTTCTTGCCCTGTCCTGCCTCTTGCTTGATTTTTTTCATCCCACCCCCAAACTCTATTCTAATGATTTCCCTAACACTGAACACGCAGAAGCCATTAGGGTAATCATTAATAATTATCATCTGGCATTGTGTGTAGTATAGCCAGGAGATCCTAAGATTGTCTGGCAGCCTGCAGTTCAAGCTCTTTCAGTGTTATGCACCACTAGGTGGTGAGCTAGACTTATTTTTTGGGCCGAGAGAGCTCGGAAAGAGCTGTGACTGGCCCTAGGTCACCCAGCTGGCTTCATGTGGAGGAGTGCAGAATCGAATCCGGTTCTCCAGATTAGAGTCCGTCATTCGTAACCACTACACTATGCTGGCTCTCAGTAGGGTGCAGTTAGGGTGTAGTGGTTAGAGGGCTGGACTAGGAGAAGAGAGTCCCCGGTTCAAATCCCTATTTGGCCAAGGAAGCTCACCAGGAGACCTTGTGCCAATCGCTGTTTCTCCCGGCTGAACCTTCCTCGCAGGGTTGTTGTGAGGAGAAACGACGGAAGGGAGTTCTCCCTATGCTGCTCTGAGCCCCTCGGAGAAAGATCTTGGACAAAAGGGAATGGACTAGAGAGTGAAGCAGGGCCCATTCCAGCAACTGCGCCCGCCTAGTCTGGACGTTGTTCTACTCCCACAACATCTCTGGCGCGTCCCGCTTTGCTGTCTTGAATTGTGGCCCAGATGTTTTGAGGAAACAGGTCTTGGGGCTGTAGAGAAATCTGGAGTCCTGTGACTGCCCCCCCCCCGCCCTTCGCTGCCCAGATATGAAAAACAGGAACGTCTGCCAAATCCACCCTGCTCTTCAGTCTAGCCTTGGCAACCGGTCCTCCTACTTTGGCACAAAAGATGCACACTGAATTCACAAGAAGCTTTTGGATGCGTGCCCGATGCCCCTGTGTGGAAGGTTTCCAGCAACCCTGTTTTACCGACTTCACTCAAGCTCCCTTAGTGGGTCTTGAAGAAGAAGGAGGAGGAAGAGGGGGAGGAGGAGATTGGATTCATACCCCGCCCTTCACTCCCAGAAGGGGTCTCAGAGCAGTTTACAATCTCCTTTCCCTCCCCCTCCCCACAACAGACACCCTGTGAGGCAGGCGGGGCTGAGAGAGCTCTCTCGAGAACTGCTCCCGAGAGAACAGCTTTGAGAGGACTTGTGACTGACCCACGGTCACACCAGCAGCTGTGGGTGGAGGAGTGGGGGAATCAAACCCGCTTCTCCCAGATTAGAGTCTGCGCTCTTAACCACTACGCCACACTGGTTATACCCCACTCTTGACTACCTGAAGGAGTCTCAGAGCGGCCGACAATCTCCTTTCCCGTCCCCTCCCCACAAGACACCCTGTGAGGTAGGCGGGGCTGAGAGAGGTCTCTCGAGAACTGCTCCTGAGAGAACGGCTCTGAGAGAACGTGTGACTGACCCAAGGTCACACCAGCAGCTGCGTGTGGAGGAGTGGGGAATCAAACCCGCTTCTCCCAGATTAGAGTCCGCGCCCTTAACCACGACACCGAATTGGCAAGTGCCTCTTGCGCCAGTGGTGTGGCAACAGGGTGTTCAGAAGGACACACACTCTGCACATGCACAGAAGACATCTTCTTTCTCTCGTGGAGCTGGATTCTGCTTGGAGAACGGCGTCTAGGGCCCGAGCTCCGGCTTCCAACCAGCCACTAGGAAAACGAGCGGGAGGCCAGCGCTCCCGGTAACGCAGATGGGCAAACCGAGGCCAGGACCCACCGGCCTCTTCTTGAGCCGAGGCCGCCCGCTCCCCAGGGAGTCTCCCGGCCAGAGCCCTGATCCCCCCCCCCGCTTCTTCATCCCATCTTCCCGCACTAACCCCTCCTCTCCTCTCTCCTCCGATGCCCGCAGCGCCGTCTCCCCCGCTGCTGCCCGCCGCCTCCCCCGTTCAGATCGTCCCTCAGTCCGTCCGCACCCCGCCCGCCGACAAGGGCAAGAAAGTCCCACCCGCCACTCTGCCCAAGCCGCATAAACCAAGTTAGTAGTGTGAGCCTGGCCAGGCCTCGGCTGTGCCCTTCCTCACCCTGGCATGACTGGACCTGGCGCGGCGCCGGCATGGCACGGGGAGCCCCCCGGTGGCACCCCCCCTCCCCTCCCACCGCTGCGGTTTCTCGGGCTCGCAGGAGGAACAGACGGCTGACAGGAACGTTCTGCCCCTCGACCTACCCATGAGCTAAGGTCTTGCAAGGTGTAGAGTTGCCAACTTTGGGTTGGGGAATTCCTGGAGATTTGGAGGCGGAGGCGGAGCCTGGGGAGGGCGGGGTTTGGAGGGGAGTCCGCCCCCCCGAAGCGGCCATTTAGGGTCGCCCCAGGTTGGATTGACCCAGCGGCGGGGGGAGGAGTTTCTGGGAGTGGGAGGGAGCGGGCGGTGTACACGCGATGCAATGACATTGCATGGAAGTGACAGCATGGAGGGGAGTCCGCCCCCCCGAAGCGGCCATTTAGGGTCGCCCCAGGTTGGATTGACCCAGCGGCAAGGGGAGGACTTTCTGGGAGTGGGAGGGAGCGGGCGGCGTACACGCGATGCGATGACATTGCAACGAAGTGACATCGTCACAGTGGGGATGTCGCGTGGTGACACTCTGGTATTTTGGGCAAAACTCTATGGTAACCATAGAGTTGCCCAAAACCATAGAGTTTTGCCCAAAATACCAGAGTGTCACTGTGCAGCGTCGCCGATATAATGATGCCACTTCTGTGTGACATCATTACATCATGTTTGGGGGTGGCATTCCCCCCGGCCGGCCAGCAGTGGCGTAGAGGCCCGAGAATCGGGGGATCTCCCGCCCTCAACTGGACAATGGCATCCCTACAGCCATTGAGTGGTTGAGCAGTGGAACAGTCTGCCTCGGGAGGTGGTGGAGGCTCCTTCGCTGGACGTTTTCAAGCGGAGGCTGGACGACCATCTTTCGGGGATGTTGTAGGGCTATCTTTTGGCTCTGCTCCTGCAGAGTGCAGGGGGCTGGACCTCCAAGGTCCCTTCCAACTCTAACATTCTATGATTCTATGACTCGGCGGGCCAAAACGAGCCTCCCGAGGCAAGACCTGTCAGCAGAACTCCTCCTCAGTCGCCACGCAACAAAAAGAGCCGAACTTGGATTTGAACGAGCAGCGCAGGTTCTGCAAAGCTGCTTTCCGGGCAAAGCCCTTGGCTGCTTATCGAGCGAGCTCAGCTCTTTGCCAAAATCTACCGACTGACTTTATTTATTTGGAGGAAGCCAAGCAGGGTTGCCAACTCCAGGTTGGGAAATCCCTGGAGATGGGCGTGTGCGTGTGGCGTCTGAGGAGGGCAGGGTTTGAGGAGGGGAAGGGCCTCCGTGGGGCAGAAGGCCATCGAGTCCGCGCTCCAGGGCTGCCATTTTCTCCTGGGGTCGTCTGGAGCTCAGCTGTGACTCCAGATCTCCAGGCCCCGCCTGGAGGTTGGCAACTCTGCGGGCGACCCTAACAATGACGATTGCGTTGGCCAGAAAATAAACAAGATTTGGCAGATTCTGAAAGAGGAATGAAGGGGAAAATGGTCCTGCTCCCGTGTGTGTGGGGGGAGGCAACCCAGTGCCCTCAGCACCAACGCTCCCTCTAAGCTGTGGAGTCCTGTGAGCAAAAATTCTACTTTGTGAGCTCCTGGCATTAAAGGCTGTGAGCGAGCGATTCGGCTGCTGCATACAAACCAGTTTGCTCTGGAGCCATGTCTCCCGAGCTAAGACACGTGTGAGCTGGAGGCTAAAAAACTGTGAGCTAACTAACTCAGCTTAGAGGGAACCCTGCCCGGCACCCGATCTTCCTTGGCTTGCTTTTAGCAGTTCTGCTTCCTGCACGACTTTGTGTGGCCTGCGCCCTGGAGTCGGTCCCTTTCCTTGCATCTGTCAGCATCTCTCTACCCATCCTGTGCCATTCAAGAGCCCCATAGACCCAGCATGCTTCACTTTGAGCCGCGCTGCATTCTGGGATTTGTAGTCTTTGCTGCTTGCGCCACTGCAGCTTTTCCATTGCCACCTTCCTTCCGGCCCGCTCCTCCCCTTACCATCTCTGCCCTCATCCATTACGTCTCCTCCGGCAACGCACCTCCCTCCTCACTCTTTCGAGATTGTCTCTTCAGATCTGCCTTCCCCCCCCTCTATGGGTCAATTGCATTTCGATGTATTTCGACAAAAGCGGCAGACGGTTTAATGAGTGGGGAAAACTGTATGTCGCAAGGTGGTAAAATTTGGTTGGAAAGGCTGGCTATAGATCAAAACACCCTCCTGTGGGGACTTTGCACCTGTGTTTTCTCATTGAAACCAGGGTGCGGGGTGGGTAGGGTTACCAAGTACCTACCGCGAATGGGCGGGGGACACTTGCTTTCCTGCCGGAACATTCCTGCCTGTTACGCACCCGCATTGCACTATGCTGTCGCCCAGACATGACGTAGGCACGTAGCCGGGCGACGCTCTGGCAATCGGGCCGAAAACTCGATGGTACCATCGAGTTTTCAGCCCTATTGCCAGAGCGTCGCCCGGCTACGTGCCTACACCACGTCTGGGTGACAGCATAGTGCAGCGCATGTGTTTTCCGCGTGGGAATGTTCCCGCCAAGAACTATGTGTCCCCCGCCGATTCGCAGTAGGTACTTGGTAACCCTAGGGGTGGGGGAGAGGGTTCCCATTTGCCCGCCGATGCTCAGCCGATTGGTGGGTGGAAACTGGGGCCAAAGGGAGCATGTGTGATTGTGCTGGGATGATAAAAGAAAATGTAAAACGAAAAATAATGCCTTGTCTACTTACGGGAAATTCTGACCATAGAGTTCCTGGCAATTCCTAGAGCTACCCAACGTGATATATTCTGACCATAGAGTCCCTGATGATTCCTAGAGTGGTCCAAAGTGACAAGGGCAGCTCTAGCAGTCGCCAGGAACTCTATGGTAAGATTACTAGAGGCTAGCCCTAGCGATTGCTGGAGGTTCTCTGGTAGGGTTCTCATATTTTGAAAAGCAAAGGACAGATTTCCCGACTGATTGCTTCAAACAACTGATCGCCAGTGTTCTCTCTAAGCTGAGTTAGTGTGAGCTAGCTCAGTATTTTAGTCTCCGGCTCACACATTTTTGTCTCAGCTGAGGAAGGATGGCTCCAGGGCAAGCCAATTTATGCAGTAGCGAAGTCGCTCGCTCACAACTTTAATGCCAGCAGCCCACCAAGTAGAATTTTTGCTCACAGGACTCCACAGCTTAGAGGGATCGCTGCTGATCACTATGGCAAATCTAATTTTAAATACCCCCTATTATTTAAGCCGAAGCTGGCCTCCACTGGGGGGCTATAGGGCAAAACAGGCTCAGCCCCGCAACCCAAAAAAGGACATTTTCATCCGTTTTTAAAATTTATTTTATTTTGTCGGGCTTGTATCCTGCCCTCCCCGCAAGCAGGCTCAGGGCGGGTTCCCTCAATGTTCATACAACATACCAATAACAATAAAAACCATGTTAAAACAATAAAATTAATACAATACAATACAATAATTATACAATTATAAAATACCGTGTGGTATCAGGCTCTTAGAAAGAGCCCGAAAGAAGATGGACACCAGCAAAAGATTACATGTCATATAAAAAGTGGACATCTGTTTCTGTGGTTGCTAGAGATACCCTTGTCACTTAGGAACCTCGATGGGAAAATTGAGTTTTCCTCTGTCCATAACATGCGAAACAGCCACGGAATATGTTGTCGGAGGCTTTCATGGCCGGAGTTCATTAGCTGCTGTAGTGCTCTCTGGGGTATATATGGGGAAAGGCAGCCCCGCAGGTATGCTGGACCCTGGCCATTTAGAATGTACTGCTCTACTGTTGATAATTTTAATCATGTGCCAATTGTATTAATGATATGCCAAATGTATTTAAATGTTTTAAGGTTGTAAATCAGCCAGAACCTGCTTGCAGGATGGGTGATCCATAAAATAAAAACAAACAGACAAACAAATGAAGTAGATAAACAAGCAAACCACGGTGACATCCGTAACACAGAAACAACCCGGGTTCCCCTGGCCATTCCGAGCCGAAGGGGTCCCCTTCTTGGCCCAATGCAGCCTTGAATGGCCTCGACTGTTACCGGCCTCCCCTCTGCATGTCCGTTGCTTGCGTATTGGACCCAGTGGGCTTCTCCGAGCTGCTCCGATGCCTGTCGGGACCTGACCTTGCGTGCAAGTGTTTGTTTGGGCGACATCCCCCCCGGCTGACGTTGCGAGACTGTTGCGGCTTTGGGAAGAGCCGAGCGCCGGGCATCACAAAGCCATCGGCCCCATTCTGGCCTCCTCTTCTCCTGGCATGAATGGCGCCCCCTTACAGGCCAGGTGCATGGGGAATGACGGAGCAGCGAGCGAGTCCTATGCTGGACTCTTGGGCATGTGCTAAGCTCTTATTCTTTCCTCCCTTTTCCAGCTTGCAACCCAAATGCCTGCCGGGCCATGGGGCGGGGTCTGCAGCCGAAGGGGGTGCGGGTGAAGGAAGTGGCCGATTTCAAGGTCTACACGAAAGGAGCTGGCACCGGGGAGCTGAAAGTCACGGTCAAGGGGCCAAGTAAGTACCCGAGTCTCTCTTTTTTTTGTGGTGGCAAAAAGGGCAAATTCAGTCTTGGCAGGGGTCATTTGGTAGAAAAAGAGGTGCAGGAGCTCATTAGCATAACTCATTAGCATAACTTATTTGCATATGCCACACCCCCTGACATCACCGGAAGTGTGTCAGAAGGCAACACCCACCGCTCAGGCTCCACTGGACTCTTTTGGATTGCTAGCTATTGGGGTGGGGGGACGTGCAGATCTGT